TGATCATCCCAATCAAGACAGTGTGGGAGCTAGTGGCACAAGGTAATTTTGCCAGTGGACTTCTTCAGTATTATCTGCCCAGGCCTTCAAAACCAATTTGTTCAACAGTACTGAGAGGAGATGGAGCGTAACTGGTCATACACAGAGCAAGCTGGGATGAGAACCTGTGGTTTCAGGAAATAACAGGGTGGAAAACTAAGGTTATGCTGCCAGTGGGGGTCTTTGGCTAATAGCTGATGCTCATGCTTCAAGTACATCTACAGTTAGAGCAGGTTTCATTAACACTGGAACACATCATTTGTATCTAATGAGGATTAATGTCTCCTTGAAATTAGATACTAAGGAATATGTGTGTGTCCCTTGTCCATGCCAACACCACTGAATCTTAACTACAAGCTTAATTGGGTGTAGGGAATTACAAGGAAATGTACTATTTTTTTCCTCGCATTATGCATATTATCTTTTATTACCTATTGACCAGGTGTTTATTTGAAATTTTTTTCTCCTCACTGTAAAAGACAGAAACTGGGTAGCTAGTCAGAACTAGAGCATCCTTATTACTCTTCGGAAATGGGATGGGAATGCTTATTGCCCCAGCCTAATTAATGTTCATTTATAATAAGCATTATAGTATGTATCAATATCATAAAAAGTGTTAGGAAGGGCTAGGTACCACACAAGCAAAAATAAAGTCAAGATCTCTAACATTATGCTTTGCCAGGCCTTTGTGCTCTTGCACATTTCTGTGAAATTTCAAGTGTTAACTGCTGTCTCGTGGAGGAAAAAGCGCTTCTCCTCCATCCCACTCAACACGCTGTCTTACTAGATACTCTCTTTCTCACAGACACTAACAAGGAATGAAAGAAATATAAAATAGCACGTCATAAAGCAGAAACATACAGTGAAAAAAATATTTCTGCAATGCATAATCATCATGTCACAGCATTGTATTTTTTTGTTATACAAGGCAATCTTGTGTGTTGGGTTTTTTTTCCTGGAGTTTTAGTGTCTTTTTTTTTTCTTCACATCTGGTGATTTTAGTCTTAATTTCTCATTAATTTTTTGTGTTGTTGTTATAGGCACTGTACATAAAGTATGGACAAATAAATGAAAGGAACGTCATCCTTATTATTGCTCTTTAGTTTTAAAAATAAGCTGTCTTATGCTATTATTTGTTAAACTTTATCTAGATTCACCACCTAAAAATCAAATCATAAAATCACAGAATGGTTTGGGTCAGAAGGGACCTTTAAAGATCATCTAGACCAACCTTCCTGCCACGGGCAGGGACATCTTTCACTAGATCAGGTTGCTCAAAGCTCTGCCCAATAGAAAATGTCCACTTGAAACCAAATGTAGAATTTAAGCAGATATAATGAAATTAAACATTATCTCCAAGCACTTAGAAAACAGTATTACTGAGACTTAAAGGGATTACATCTCACCTAAAAGAAAGTACCTGCCATAGCAATGATTTCCAATAATGATCAAAATTAATCCTTGGGCTGACAGCCAACACAAATCCTATACATACTTTAAAAGCTTAAAAAGCCATAGATAGTTAAGTGGGACTCTGTATCAGTAGAAGTGTGATTATTGGGCTGATCCTATGCTCAGGAGCAAACTTCTTACCACTGACTGGAGTATTGCTTCAGTGCTGACTGAAAAAGGGAGGAGCAGGACATAGGATTACCCTTCCCTGTGTCACTTCCATAAGTCCCACATGATTTTCATGGAAGTCCTATTATCTGTGTTCTGCCCACTCTTCATTTATGGCATCTGTCTGAGAGGTTAACAGCTGAGGAAGTATAGTTCACCTGCTGATGTATGGAATTAAGATCAAGATATACGTTATGAGTTTGAAGCTCAGAAGACAGCAATTTTTCATCCACGATTGAAATTTCAATTGTTAAATGAATTGCAAAGAGACTACTTGATGTCTCTTGTACAGAGCCTGAAACTGAGTCACTTGCTATGAAGCAGCAGCATTCTTCTATAAGAAATAAACAGTTTACATTACATCACCTGCTGAAGACTAAGCATTTTATATGCATTTGCTTAATTATTGCTTGTGACATTCGAAAACAGTACATGATCTATTGAAAAACTTCAAGTACCTGCTTGTACTTTCTGAAAGAATTTTTAACTTTCATTAAACATACAACTAAGAATAAGCCACTTGGGCAGCAGCTTTTCCACCGTACACAGGGTTTCCAAGCACTGAGTTCACAAATACTGAAACACTCTCAGAAGTTGACTGATATTTAAAACCTGTACACCCAGGCAAAGAGTTTTGAATTTTCTAAACTTCTGTAAATGGCAATAACGATACAGGTTAATTTTTTAATGCCTGGGATATTTGACTGACTTTATGGATTAAGAATCTCCAAGAAGTTAGAGAGGAGTGTGCTTCAGCCGCTAAAAAAAAAAGAATTGATTTTTGTCAGGCTTTCTTTTATTGATTGTCAGCTTAACATTTATCAGCTCAAACAGCTTACAGCTGCCATTTTGTGAAGTGATATTTTAGAGGTCAAGCTACTGCACCAGGTGGTTTTGTTTGCATTTCTAAAACTAATCTTTGCTGGGCCATCATTATCCGCTTTTACCTGCTTTGAGGGCTCAGGATGTAATATACATAGTGAAAAGTAATTATGAAAAGCTCTTCTCCCAGCCTTTATCCATAATTTCTGAATAATATTTTTTTGGTAAAAAAGCAGCAAGTGCTGTGGTGACATCTGTTTTGTTTTTAGTCAAAGAATTTTAACTGTAATATTGCTGTTTCCTTCTCTCACTGCATCACCAGCAGCCTTGAAATATGGACATGACCATCTAGTTAAGCATCTCTAAACATGACCATCAAGTCAAGCAATTTTTTTTTAATCACTCCAAGAACCAAACATAACAGTATTCCAGAAATGAAAGATTTTATTTATAAGAGGTGTTTGTACTGACCACATGCCAAATTCTTACATTTTAAATGTGTCGGCAACATTTATCAAGCTGTTTCCGTATGCAAATTTACCATTTTAATTTGCCATTGGCTGTGACCTAGCCAAGCACAAACACTGAAACAGGGCATAATAAACAAAACTTAAAGACAAAAAAAAAAAAAGGAGAAAAAAAAACCCTCAAGAGTGAAGAAAGCTGTGGCACCAACGCCACGGACGTCACAATTTATTCCCACAGTTGTGATAAGAAAGCGTTACCTTGCAATATTTGATACACACTAACCCACATGGCAAATCCGTATTCATACTCAACAAAGAGTTACTGAAATAGATAAGAGTGAATATGTGTGTGCTGCTTGACAAATGGCATTTCTTACAGTTGACAATTATTAAAAGCACTTGATAACACTGTGCAATCTCTGGCATTGTTCTACAGAGAAAGCCTCGGCTGTTTCCTATGACTATATATTTATAATTATATTTTCATTAAACTGAATTATCTGTCAGCTTATGATTTCACAACTCATTTTCATACCGCAGCTGAAAATTTTCTAAACCAGTATCAAGGAATGACATGCAAAGTCAAAAGACAAATGCCTCATCAACTGTAAATAATGCTCCAGCAAGTCTGCATTTTGAGGGGAAAGAAGTTATGGAGAACAAAGCAGCAAATCACAAAGGCATTTCTACTGCTAACTAGCAGTAACAGAGACTGGCAGGATGTAATTCACCCATTAATTTTCACGTGTGGCCGGAATAAAGGCGGTTAACAAAGGAAAACAACAAGAGGACTCCTTCTGCAACTGGAATCTGCACTGAATGCCCCTTTAGTGAGGGTGAAAGTAAACAGCCACAGACAGACTGACAGGACAGATTTTCAGAGTGGGATGCAAAGGGTGAATCAGTGTCACGGCAGCGCTGACAAACTGGCATGTATGGGAACAGGGGTACTTTGTGGGCATATGGCTGACAATTTTGCACACATTTTTTACAGCTACCTTGGAGTTGACATGGGGAAACATGGAAACCTAAATCTGAATTAATTATTTAAAGTATCAGTATAACTAATCTCACATTTATCTCCAATGAGGAGGTTGGTTTTTGGCATTTAAATGGCATCCATTCATCTTCAGTGTATTTTACTTGAGCGTGACCTAAAGACCTACATCTGTTGTTAATTCAGATGAATTTTCCTGATCGTACTTCATAGATAAGCTGTTAGAAAATCTTCAGTGCGTTAGTATGTTTGCCACTTTCACTGCTCCAAGTAGAAGTGGGATAACGGTAACTAAAATGCACAGACATTATACGTACCGTGTGGGCTACAATGCAGCCAGTGCGTGTTACGGTAGGTTTAAGGCCTGATTGGACAAGCTGTGGTTGAGGCTGAATATAATTTGAGTGAAGAGAAGTTATTGTGTGTATTTTAAACCTAGATTTAGTTCACAGAAGCAGGTTTCTTAGCTAAACTGAGATGATGGTAATCTGGATGGGGGGCAGAGGGGAGAGAAGAGAGCAGGGTGCTTGGCTGGAGACAAACTTTCATCTGAATCTTTGGCAGCTGAAACAGTCTGCCCGGCTGTGGTCCTACTTAAAATAATAGTTATAATTTATAGTTATTACTTGAAATAAATATGGTGGAAGTTTGTTTTAGATTGTCTCTAGTTCCACGGGGTAAAACTGTCTCTGTTGCCTGTTAAAAAAATTAATTCTTAAGTGACATTCTAATCAAGTAACAATGAAATTGCTTTTCAGGCTCTAAGTCCGTGGACATGTAAGATATGCACTGTGTTTTGTACAGTACCTGGTACGACGGTTCTTCTGCCAGACAGAAGCTTCTATGCACAATTACAAAATAAACGATAAATGTTTGCAATTTCCTCTCTCCCCTTTAATGGCCTACTTTTAGTTAAAATTACTGGGGTGAGCGGGAAGGCAAGTTACTTATCTCATTTTCCTTATAATAATTGAAAGCATCTTTTATTTCCCTTGCTTTACCTTAAATAACACAAAGTTAGAGGTTTTCACACTTTTTCCCTCCCTGTCTCCTAGGAAACCGATCTCATGACCTTTAACATCTCAATGCACCGCTCTTGGTGGCGGGAACACGGGCCCGGCTGCATACGAAGGGTGGTGCGTCCTTCTGCCCCTGGCATCCTAGACGATTACTCCTACGTCTCTGTGACAGGCTGCATAATTGATTTCCAGTACCTAGAGGTCATTCACAGCGCTATCCAAATACTCCTCTCCGTAAGTTCCCGTTTCCTTTTGTACTCGGATCCCAGCAGTCCTTTCACATGCAGCCTGCTGCTGTTGGGTGTCTCTGTCCTGAAAGGGGGATGTAGTAGTTGATGCATAGCAGCACAGATTTTTAATTGTATTTTGAATTAGAGAATGATATTCACGTTATTAAAATGTGCACTGCTTTTTCCTTATATCTCGTAAGGCTCTGTACAGGCGTAGCCCCCGTTCTGGCCTTTGCTGGGACAGGTGAAAATTAACCTGAGTCCTTGGCTCTCACTCACTGAGACATGTACAGCAAAGAAGAGCAGACTTGTCCAAATTAGTTTGCCTAAACCTTTCCGAAGTTCACAATCAGTGACGGTATTTATTCAGCCCTGAATGTAAATAGATTTTACATGTTACATGGCTAAGTTTCTTCCCAAAGTGAGATATGGATGTAACACTTGAAAAAGGTCAGAGAAGTACTAGGAATTAAAGTGCTCATTTATATTTAACCATATTATTTGTTCTTTCCTGGGACTCTGCATTATCAGAATACTCTACCTCTGTGATCCACATTTTGTGGTTGCAATACCAGTCAAAAACTGCAAGTACAAGAAGTCGTTATAACAAGTCTGCAGTGCAGGGAAGCGCTGAGGCTGGATGAGTTTCTCTGGGAGCAGCAGCCCAGTCTTGGCCACAGTCTTTCCTCAATCTGATGGCTGCTTCTGCTTGTGATTAAAAGGTTGTTTGGCATGAGCTGCATGTCATCTGCTAGAACTGGTAGCTCTTTCTCTGCATAGCTGTGTATAGTACGTAGCAACTGGCCCACCCCAAGTGGGTGCACATAGGTCTGATGTCTGGACCTATTCTAAGAACATAAACGTTCGTGGCTTGTGGTCCTAACCATGGCCACCAGTGCTTGTCAGACAGTGGGAGAGGAGATGCAGTCTGCAGTCCACACCTGCTAGTCAGGTGAGCTGCCTGGTACTCCTGGTATCCAACCAGAAAGGCTGGATATTCCTGGTCTATTCAGTACTTCAAGCTGTTTTACTAACTGACTGGTGAATACTGCTACTAGCAAAGTAAAAGGGATCTATAGGATAAATCTCACTCATTAGTTTAAAATTATTTTCAAATTTTAATTTTTACATCTTTTCAAGATAAGGACATTTCTCTTTTGAAAGAAAAAAATCAGTATATGTGATTACATCTATCATCCCGTCCAACTGTCTAGAATGAAGTAGTCTAAAAGTTCAAGATAGTTTATCTGCATTACTAAATGCCTTTTGTAAGATGTCGAGTGCTTTTTCCTTACCACTGCTTTTATTAAAAATTTAATAAACTTGTATCTTACAGCAGTGATTAATGAACTTCCGCTTGACAATCCAGGTCTGAATTAGTGCGCTTGGTTAGTGCACCAGTGACATCACATGCACCTACACAAGCCATATGTCTGCTCCTGGCCTATCAGCTTCTCGGGCACCAGTGACATCCCAAGCACCTGCACATCCCATGTACCTGCTCCGGGCCTACCGGCTTCTCAGGCACCACTGACATCACAAGCACCTACACAAGCCTTCTCCTGACTGTTGTTCAGTCAGGCAGCAAAGACTTTGAGTCAGGATCTTTTCCAGTGAAGACAAAATCACTTCCTTGAGGCCCGGCCCTGTGTATGTCAACATACATTATAACGTTACTGTGAAAGCAGGCCTTGCAGAAGAATTTTGCACGCTACATCTGCAAAGCTTAACTGAATGCACCTTCCTTACTCTTGTGGGGGCCTGATACTCAAAGCAGGTTGCTTCTCCCATGAGCTCTTCATTTGCAGCAAATTCCCCTCGCAATGCAGTGTTGTTCACTCTGCTTCAGTGAGCCTGTACAAGGGAAACTGAAGTGTGGTTGGTTTAAAAGGAGAAAACCATAAATATTTCCAATACTTCCTCACTTCTATAAGAAAAAATGTATTGTGTTAGAAATTTTTCTAGAATTTTTGTGATTAGAAACAAATTTAGAGTTCAGTGGAAATACAGCTGGTTGTTGAAATCGGGAACTTTCTTCTGTACCTATCAGTGCAGTACAGTTCTGGTCAAAATTTACCAAATGACAGGAACACAAATGTTGCTATTAGAATAATAGAATAAAAACATTTAATATATAAAAAATAAAAGAAATATGAACATGGAAAAGTATAAAAATTATGTAATAACTATAAAGCATAAAATGTAACAGGCCTTCCCTTTCTTGTGGAGTGACTGATTGCCTGGAACAATCAAAAATAAATTCTGGATACAATTCATTGCAAGTTCAAAATGTGCCAGGAACTTATAAGGCTTGACTGTGAATTAAATAGTTACCAGTTTCAGATACTGCTTTTGACTGATATACACAATGTTAAAATTAAAATCCCATACGCAAAGTAAGGTTTTCCTCCAGTCCTATTATCCTGCTATCCCATCTGTGACGCGTTATGATTAGCATACCATGAGTCTGTACTTCAGTTTCCATTCTGAATTGTAATTTAGGCTTGTTTAATTTACTGTCACACAGACAGAAGTCACCACCTAGATTATCAGACTTGTTGCAGTTTCCTCCCATTTTCTGAGTACTGTTGACCTGAGGAAGTTCCCACTCATGTCGGATGCATAACTGCTTTTTAATCGGGGTACCAACTGCAGTTGTTAATTAAAAGGTCATTTAGGTTGTCTTTTTACAGTACTGAAGAATTGTAAATCAGAAGATCCTTCTTTTTTTCTTTTCCTAGTGGCTAGTCCTAAAAGTAGCCTATTCCTTTTTGGACCTTAGAACCTACTTAATTTTCATAACATTTTTATGTAGCAGTAGTAGCATAACAAACCATTTTACAGTGTAACAATAACTTAATTGGCATAACAGATCATTTTATCATGCTAACCCTTGTCCAAATGACTGGCAAGGTGAGCACTTCCATTTGCTAGGGAGTTAGAGCCTCTGTAAGAAGAAATCCCTCCAGGGGTAAATATTGGATACCTGTCGAGATATATAACTCACTAGCAGCAGTTCTCCATTTTTGAAAGGTGACTTTTTATTGAAATCTTTTTTTTTTTAACTGATATAAAAAAATTTATATGCACAGAATTATGCAGCTGTGACTACATTAGACCCTGCTCCAGGGAATAGGTTCGACAGTCATTTATTTAATTCTAACACAGTAAGGCTCTTTTTGTATTTGCTTTACAGTTGTTTCTTAAAAAAAGTATCTTTTATTGGTGAAACAGTAACTTTGTATCTCATCCTGATTCTGGGTGATGGTTGAAATGATTGGGAGTTGAAGGTGTTAAGCATTGCTTTAAAACAGGGGAAAATCAAGAGAAATATGAGAGAATGGGATGCAATTAATAGTAAAGAAGAAATATATTTAAATTTTGTGTTTAAAATCTACATTTATTTGATGTGTAGGGCACAGTACATATTATTTTGATGAATAAATCCTTCCACACAACACCTTTAATTTTAAAATGCAGGGCAGATCATCTTTAATGAAACGTGAATTTTTGGAGAACAAATGGATATTACAGTCAAAATGGTGACAGCTTAGCAACTTTGAGAAAGGTCCTCCATACAGTCTTTTTTGTTATTTGAAAATAGATAATGCACACTGAGAATGTTAAATGCCAGGTAGACACCGGTTTTAATAGCCTGAAATTTAAAAAGTTCTCCAAGTGATTGCAGACAGTTTTGTATAAGACCCTGAGCCTAATATCATAGTAAGCTTGTCCACAGCTACACTGTGAAGCAGAGACCCCCCCAAGCTAGAGTTCACCAGGGTAGCTCTGGAATTAGCAGCCGTATAACTTCATCAGTGCTGAAAAAGCAAAATGGATTAATTTTGGCAGAGCGACAAGCTGACACAATTAGCCTGCTTCTGGGGACGGGAGCTACTACCTTCTCACAACACTGAGTTGCACAAGGTGAGGTTAACTTTCCGTCTGGGTCTCATTACATTACTCTTCACTGTATAGAAAAGCCATACCTGAAATCTAGAATTCTGAAGGAGGGGGGGAAAAAGAAAGGAAGAAAGGAAGAAAGGAAGAAAGGAAGAAAGGAAGAAAGAAGGAAAAGAAAGCAAGCAAGCTAAACCTAAAAACACGCAAAACTGTCTGGCATGTTGATGCTGACTGAATGCAGGATATTTTGAAGAATAGCACTGGTTTACTTAGCAGGAGTCCATCTGTTGCCTCTTATAAGTGTCAATTAGTATAACCTCTGGGGAACTGCTTAACCTACAGATGAGGAACACTCACAGAAAAAACACTCCTGGAGAGTCACCTGGTTTTCACTACAGTGTAAAGCCAGGCAAAAATGTGATACAGAGAGATTAAGAGTATTGAATTTTCCACAGTGGAGTTAAAAGCAATGAACATACCTGCCTAAGGTAAAGTCAGGCACTAATCAATGGGGAATTACTTATCAGTAACACTACCAAGCACAAAACGTAGCCAGAAAAATATATGACTTTCTACAGAATATAATGAAGTTGTAATATCACAAGTATAAGAAAAAGCACTCCTGGCAGCCAAACTGGGAGTTGGGTACTGTGGTCACTGTGAATCTGAACGATTCTCCTGCAAGATGGACAGACTACATCTATACACATAAATTCAGCCTGCCAAGGGAACTGGGTACTGAGGCCAGCTGGCTCAGAACAGCTCACATCTCTGCTGATGGTCTCAGCCTCCAAACAGGCTAGTGTGTTCGAGCCATCCAGCAGGAAAAATCCCTGGACTGTTCTGACCAAAACTATGCCTGGGAACTGTTTGGGGAGAGTGGTGGCTGGAGCAGGCCAACCTCACGGCCGTGTAGCGGTGTGGGTGATGGCGCGCCAGTGCCAGGAACGCTCCCAGGCATGCGGGAATTCCCTCCTATTGATGCAGCCGTAGCAGGCAAACGTCCAGCCGCAATTCGTTCCTCAGAGTGGACCGAGGCAGGAGCTCACAGGAAGTAGTTAGGTGGTCTGTTACCTAGAGGGGTGTAGAAGAACATTTTGT